ACATGTGAGATTCGAGGTTTTTCTATAAATTAAATGTTAATATCAAAAGCACACTGATACGAGGCCGGTGTCTAGGACCATGTGTCAGAACAATAGCATTTTCTTGGAGCATTAATCTGATCTTTAATGGAAAATTGTAAAATGTTTCTGGAGATCTTATGTTAGGATCAAACTGATTAAAATTAAAATTGTTTATAAGGTTTTAAAAATGACTTTTAATATTAATAATACACCATGCAAAGGTGAAATTTGGTTTTCTCTTTTGAACAAAATTTTCATGTGAGAGATAATGAAAGATTTTTATTTACCTTTTGAATAACTAAAGGGTGAAAACAGGAGGAAAGAGAGACATTTAGTTGGCCTCATGCTGTCTTTATTAGGTTTCATTGTTTGGGAAACTGAGTCTACTCTCTCTAAAAGGGTAAAGGTTTTGTTTCATCTTCTTGGCTAAATCAATGACTACTTTACAGTGACCTGTGGATCCTATTTTGTAATATCAAATGTCTTAAAACTTCGATATTTGACAGACTTTCCGAGAGTAAAAATTTCAAGTTCTAAATTCAGTCTTTTTGACCTCAAATTAACTTTTTTGCATCTTAGTTTCCCTGAAGTTCAAGAGAGATATATTAGGCTTATTGGCTTATTTGTTACATTAGGATTATGCAGAAAGCATTGTCACATCTGAGGTGGTGTTTAACTTCTTTGGGTTTATGTTTATATAGATGTGTTGCTAATATATGTTCCAGGATTGTATGAGATTCCTAAAATTCTTTCATGTTTTAATATATGTCATCAGTAATAATTATGCTTATTATGTTGAATTGTTATATGTCACAGAAATAATCAAATTTCCTCGTCAACTGTGTCTTTAACTATGGCTTGCTTAAGACTTTTGACATCTACAATTATTATTTTATACTGATTCTTCTCAAAAAGTAACTTATAATCAGCTACAGTCCATGGTTTGCTTCTTTGGGGGAGTTCATGAAAAGGACTCTTTAATGAAGGTTTCTGATGACTTTGGAGGTTGTTCTATTAGATTAGAGAGAGAAAACGTCCAAGAAACTAATTGAAAAACTGATATGTTCATAAAGTTTACTAACCTAATATGAAGCAGAGCAGGAGTTAGTTGCATACACTGAACAAACGGAGGCCAGAAATAATTTCTTATGGATTTTTTTTGTTTGAAACATTGCTGCCTTTAACAATTGAGAAGAGCATTACTCTTGAAAACTAAATTTGAGGCATATTTCTCTCCGTGCCTAATTTCTCCAGAATTCATAAGCTAATTGTGAATATTATTAATTCATGGCAATGTGTTTGCATATGTTTAATAAGAATCTGTTTTCTGCTGGGCGCGTTGGCTCACGCTTGTAATCCTAGCACTTTGGGAGGCCAAGGCAGGTAGATCACTTGAGGTCAGGAGTTTGAGACCAGTCTGCCAACATGGTGAAACCCCGTCTCTACTAAAAATACAAAAATTAGCCAGGAATGGTGGTACATGCCTGTAGTCCCAGCTACTCGGGAGGCTGAGGCAGGAGGATCACTTGAACCTGGGAGGTAGAGTTTGCAGTGAGCTGAGATTACGCCACTGCACTCACTCCAGCCTGGGTGACAGAGCAAGACTTTATCTCAAAAAAAAAAAAAAAAAGAATATGTTTTCTTTTATAATAAAACACAGTTGGAAGAACTGGTCATTTTCCCAGGGCTTTGACTGAAACGGCCTTGTGAGAGGTTCCAGCAAAGCCAGTTTAAGATAGCCTATATGGACAATGGTTCTTGCTGCACTTTGTGTGGGTATATAAGCCAAGTATATGGGACTGAAGCTTATTTGGCAGGTAGGTTGGTCCTGCTGTGATTTGTCTTTAGTGAAAGCGGGAGACTGGAGAGAAAAAGAGTATATTTCAGAAGAAACCTATAGTATTCAGTTAACTTTTGATTTCTGGGTGGCTATGTGGGTCATCCATGGTATGGAGCTACCCACAACACTCCTCATTAGCATAAAGCAGCCAGAAAGATTGATGACCAGGTTCCCCATGACTGAGGAATTGATAAACAGAAAAGGGGCACTGAAATGAACCCAATTGTCCCGTAAATCTGATTTTTACAGTTTATTTTGAATAAACATAGAAATTGACCCTCTCAGTCTTGAAACTTGAGAGAGTTGCATTTGTCCTATCTGAGTTCTTTCTCAGGAAACCAACCATCAGACCTCCCACGTAATATCAAGGGACTGAAACTCACCAGATCACTGTATTTGGACAATGAGATGCCAGACTCCTCACCCCTGATGACTGCCTAACCAACTATCTGCTTCCTGTTAACCGACTCCTCCTCCTTACCACTCCCTAATTTCTGCTTCCCTGCATGTAGATACATTTCTGCTATATAAACCCCTAACTTTAGTGAGTCAGGGAGACAGATATCAGACTGATCTCTTATCTCCTTGGCTGCAGTACCCAATTAAAGCCTTCTTCCTTGGCAATACTCATTGTCTCAGTGATTGGCTTTCTGTGTGGCAAGCAGCAGGACCTAGACTGAACCCCTGGTATTTCAGTAACAAAATCATGGGTGACTTCCCTGTCTAAACAAAGTCACATTTTGATTCCTTTCATTGCAATGAGATGAGCATTTTAGGCAGGATCAGCCTTCTGCAAAACTGCAAGGAGCACGTTTCACTATAAGAATGCCATGTAAGCTGGGCACAGTGACTCATGCCTGTAATCCTAGCACTTTGGGAGGCTGAGGCAAAAGGATCACTTGAACCCAGGAGTTTGAGACCAGCCTGGGCAACATGGCAAAACCTCACCTCCACAAAAAAATACCAAAAATTAGCCAGGCATGGTGGCACACACCTGTAGTCCCCGCTACTCCAGGGGCTGAGGTGGGAGGATCACTTGAGTCCAGGAGGTTGAGGCTGCTGTGAGCTGTGATCACACCACTGCACTCCAACCTAGGTGACAGAGTGAGACCCTGTCTCAAAACAAAAATGCCATGCAGCTAGACTGGTACAAGACGCTAATTGAGAGGGGATAGAAAAGAGGTTGCCATGCCCTCTGTTTTCTTAGCCAATGCACTTCCCTAGCAAGATCTAGATCGATCCACACTGTTTCCGCTTCTCTGCTGGAGATGAGAACCTTCAGTAGTCAAACAGCTCTCATCTCTGGGGGCTGCATAACTTGTTTTATGACTAAGGGAGACCCACAAGGCCATTTCTTACAGCCCACAGCCAAGCCCTCTGTGAAAAGGAAAAGGCAACTCTTCCAGCAAGGAAGTCCTCATCCCTTTTCAAAAACTTTCCTAGGCAAACTTGTAGGCTATTAATGACTCTAGTTAAAACCTCCCAGCCCTTACTGAGGAGAAACCACTTTGTAATGTGGGTTTTCAACCTTGGCTGCACATTGCAATCACCTGGGGATCCTGCCCCCACCACCCACAAAGATTCTGATGTTATTGGTCTGAGATGCTGCCTGAGAATTGGTGTTTCCAAAGCTCCTCTAGTGTTTTGTGTTTTTCTAGCACAAGCAAAGTTGTGAGTCACTGTAGTGCAATGCAGTTCAGTCACAATTGCCACAATTGTGTAGGCTCCATCAGAACCACCTGAAGGACTTGGTAGACCACAGCTGGCTGGGACCTACCCCTAGGCTTCTGATTCAGTGAGTGAGAGGCGGCGCCCCAGGTTGTACATTTCTAACAAGTTCCAGGCGCTGCTGCTGCTGGTCCAGAGACCACTGCATTAGAGGCCAGAGTTCTCAACTATTGACTGCACATTAGAACCATCTGGACAACATTTAAGACGTACTGATGCCTATACCCCAACCCAGACTAACTGAATCAAAATCTCTGGTAATGGGGCTCCAGAGATGTTTTTTACTCCTCCCAGGGGATTCTACTGTAGAGCAAGTTAAGAACCACTTCTAAACAAAAGAAAAAAATTCTTACTGAAAAGATTAAAGAGACATACACCAAGTTTGCAGGCTTCCTAGACAATGGAACTTCAAACATAGGATTTGCCTGTGGTATTTATTCTTTCCTGGGGCCCACTTGCAGTGTACTTGATAGGATGATGGATCAGAAACCTTGACCCAGCAGCCTAAAAATAGTGGTCAGCATCGATAAATCTCATCTATTACAACAAAAACGAAAAACAGTTACAAGGCCCCACTCCAGGGGAAGCTCGGGTACCCCCCAACCCCCGCGTAGAGATATGCCCAAGAAGTAACTCCTAATAGGCCACTCAAGTTCTGCCATTGAAAGAGAATACGTGCGCAAGATACATCTTGCAGCCTAGAATTTTTTTTCATATATGTGACTTTAGTCTCTTCTTTGTATAGTGACTTTGTAGATGAAGAGAAATTACAACACCTTATATGCGAAGTTGACTAAGTCATGGGGGCTCTTCCTCCAGGTTCCCAGAGCAAAAAGCAAAAAGCCCTGTACTCCCTGGTGCCCACCTGATCATCTTGCCCATGGTTTTTCCATCCCAGAGGTACTGCTGCAGGCCCAGAGCCCTCCAGGCAGAGAACTGACATCCAGGAACTCCTCCCCAAGCCCTTTCTTCAACTCATTCTTGCTATGGCAAGAGTGTGGGTTGAAGTGATATCTCGGAAGTTTACTCCATTGTATTAAATTCTCAGTAAATCACCCTTTGACAAGTCAGTTTAAAGGATACAATGTAGACAGCTAGAAAAGACTCTATCTCTGGGCCAGGTTTTGCCAGCTGTTTAATAAATTGCTCAAATCATCTCTAATGCATCCTATGTTTGTCACTAGTCATCATGTCAGAATCTCTGCTTTCATAAAGAAAACTTTTCTGGCCTGACACACAGCCACTATCTACTGAACTTTGCTGCAGGCCGAAATGTCTTCTGAGATCTCCACTCAGCGATCCTTAATATTTTGTGGAGAGAAATTTACAAGTGTGCCCTTGATACATAAAAAGGTCACAAATTCTAGGGTCCCACTGATCCCAGTGATGTCTACATCATCTCCCCTTCTAGCCGGAAAACTCAAACATATGTGGAGTGTGCAACAAATGGGGACAGCTGTTCTGCTGCGACACTTGTCCAAGATCCTTTCATGAGCACTGCCACATCCCGCCCGTGGAAGCTGACAAGTGAGTAAGATGTGTCCCCTTCCCTGAGCCCTTCCTTCTTGTGGTACAGCTCCTCCTGCCACTCATGAGTACTCTGCAGTTTCTGTACCTGGTTATGTGTTTCTTGATGCATAAGGGGCAGGCTCCTTAGTATCAGGATCCACAAGTATTATCCAGAGCTGTTGAACAGTGCTGGCAGCAGCAGATTAATGGGAAGCAAAAACTCTTTAAGTGGTTATTGAGTGCAATAGAAAGAGGTGTCAACCTCTGCCTCCCCTACTTGGCTCCGAGACCCATGCTCTCTGATGGGGTGATGCCATCATACACTGCCTGCTGGTTTAAAGCATATGCCACCTGCTGTGGGACCATCACACAGCTGGTAAAGCCAGTGCTGCAGCAGTCTATCAAGCCAACTGACTCTGGGTCACAAGTCACATGTCGAGACCTGTGAATTCTGCAACTGTGAGTCCCTGGCTCACTTCCTTTGCTAAAACATGTGCCTTTGGACAGAGGTGATGGTATGCAGGATACCATGGAGACTGATAAGGTGCTCTGTGAGTGGTGTGTGGACAGAATTGTTAAGGCTGAGAGGATGATCTCTACCTGGAATGTGTCTGACTCTATGAGGGCAGAGCATTGCCCTTCCATAATGGAGAAGGCTAATGTGACCCACCTGCTCCCAGAGTGTCATCTCAGCGGATCAGCATAAACCTCTGCTTTTGACCAGTTGGGCAATCTGCAGAGGCAGAAGAAAAATCAGCTTTTCGGTTGAGCCCATGTATAGCCCCCATCCCTGCACCAGAGTTGCAAAGTGCTCTCAGAGGAGTACTTTGTAACAGGCTCCTTGAGCAAGCACTACATGGCCAAGGAGATGCTGGCATCACTAGGATGGTTCATTGTGCTTGCCTGATTATCAACAGCCTCCTAGCACAGATGGCCTAGTAGAGAAGGTTGGAGAATGAATCTAGGAGCAAATGGAAGATGTCTGACACCGTGTCCAGAGATTTCCTTTTCAAGAAGTTTCTGCAGCACAGATTCTAGGTGTAAGATATGGCAGGGCCGAGGGAGAGGATGCCTATAGCCTGTGTTCTGTGCTTACTCAGCAAAGTCGAGAAACAAGAGTTTGTTTTCTGATTTTTCTATGACCTGATTGACTCACAGACACCCAACACTTTGTGCTTAAGGTACTCATTTCCAATAACCGTGGCAAACAGTGCTCATTATCAAGTTCCCAGTGGCTCAGATGGGAACCCTAAGTTTTGAGGTGAATGAGACTCCGTCACTCACAGGGCACTTCACCCAATAGATGATCACCCCTGCTATTGCTATTGGTGGAAGGGCATGCCTTTGGCTATTGAGTTCTAATGGGGCTCTAGTGCAGAGGCCTCCAGGAGAGAAGTTAGATACAAGGTGGAAACCACCAGGCATTCTTGAGCACAGGACTTGAACAACTGTAAGAATGGCAGCTGATTCACAGAACCTGCCATTGTTCACTTTATGCCCCATCTCTCAGGAACCCGTGGAGTTGCATCTTCTGCAGGATAAAGACTATTCAGGAAAGATGCCCAGAAAGCCAACCATGGCATCAGGAATCTGAAGTCCTGATGAGGCAGATGCTGCCCGAGGAGCAGTTGGTGAGTAAAAATGTGAACCTGAAGCCTCCTCCTTTCTGTTCACCTAGGCAGGAGAAGCACAGTCTTACAAAAAGCTCAAGGAATGGAGCCCAAAAGCAAACTCCTGGCCCATGGTGTGCTTTTCTCCGTGACCTAACACTACAATTCATATTCCAAAGAAAATTCCTAGTCCAAAGAAACTCCCCATGCCATGTTTGCTTCAAAGAGTCCACAGGTTTGGGAGTTGTGTGTTCTCTTTGGGCATGCATAGGAGCTCTTTCTCTCTAAACTGCATTTAACTTGAAATGTCCTCCGTCTTTTGCAGAAATGTGAATTCCTCCTCTTGAAGGTCTACTCTGATCCAAAAAGCCCCTTTTTTGCCTCAGAACCATATTATGTAAGTAACAGCCCAAAAAAAATGCTTATACTGGCATTTGTCAAATCTGTGATCTGAATCCCACGGTACAAGGTGCCATTCTATTTGCCTTGTTGATGAGTTTTTAGTTTAGGCTACTATAAAACTTTATCATAGATTCGGTGGCTTAAACAGCAGAAATGTTTTTCTCACGGTCCTGGAAGCTGCATGTCCAAGATCAAGGTGTCAGCAGGGTCGGGTTCTGGAGAGGGGCTATCTTCTAGGTTGCAGAGACAACACAGGGTTGCTCCCTGTGTTCTTAAGTGGCAGAAAGAGGAGAGAACTCTCCAGAGTCTCTTTTATAAGAGTCCTAATCCTATTTGTGAGGGCTCCACCCTTCTTACCTCATGACCTCCCAAAAGCCCCACCTACTAGTACCTTCACGGGGGGGTAGGATTTTGACCTATGGATTGGGGGACCCCACAAACCTTTATTCCATAATGGTGGGAGTCTATGGCACCAGGCTGATAGCCTCACTTTGGTCTTTTTCTCAACAGAACAAAGAGAGGTCTCAGGGCCCACAGAAGCCCATGTGGTTAAACAAAGTCAAGAGAAACCTGAATGAGCAGGCATACTCCCGAGTAGAAGGGTTTGTGCAGGACATGCGTCTCATCTTTCATAACCACAAGGAATTTTACAGGGTGAGTGGCTCTCCCTGCTTCCTTTTCTTTTTCAATTACATCACTTTAAAGTCACTTTCCCTCTCATCTTTTCATATCAGGTAAATGTTACAATCACCCTTATCACATGACAAGCCCATACAAGTACAAATCGTGGAAGTATCCTAAAAACCCTGTGGTGCATGTGGGGAAAATAACAACGAACTGGAAGGTGCCCTTGCAAACATGGTCCTATAACCTCAGAGTTGACTCATTTCTAGATGGTTTGTTTTCACCCATAGAGAACAGTAGGCTGCAGACTCATCTGTTTCTACTAGAAATAGAAGTGCACTTTAAAGGCATTTAAAGTGTTTCTCTTCTCTAGAGGAATATACCAAATCAAAGGTCTCAAATGTCAAAATATTGGATTTCTTTACATCTGAATTTCCTGGCACCATTTCAGAAATTAACAAGGATTATGTCAAGGGGTGAGAGTGAAGGGAAAAGGAAGACATTATTAAATGGCCTTAAACATTTCTGCACTATATTAACGTTGCTAAAAAAATGCTGTGCATAAAAATCACACAAGTAGAATTTTTAAAACTTAAATTAAACCATAAGCTTTTGATCAGGAATTAGATTTCAATGTAGTAATATTTCGACTTCTCTGCCTTCCAGATAAAGATAAATAATTAAATTGTCAGGGAACATAAGCAATTCTTAACTAGATTAATTCTCATTTAACATTTGGGATAACCTAAAACAAGGCCCTGGATTATCTGCAATACTGGGTGTCTCCGCTCATTGAATAATCGTTGCTATTAATGTTTTTTTCTTTGCTTTTTCAGGAAGATAAATTCATTACACTGGGAATTCAAGTAGAGGACAACTTTGAGAAGAATTTCAGAAACATTTTTGCAATTCAGGAAACAAGCAAGAACATTATAATGTTCATTTAGCCCATTCTTATTTCTTCCCTTCAGATCCTCTGGCAGCTAGGTACACAGTGTGCATGTGGTCCCACTAATCTCTGACTGCTCCTGTGGAAACTCCACATTACAATTCTCCAAAATTTTTCATTAACATTTTAAAACTGTCTTTATCAGCTTTCAATAAAATTCAACACTCCTTCATGTTAAAAATTCTCAATAAGCTAGGTATTGAAGGAACATATCCCAAAATAATAAGAGCCATTTACAACAAATCCACAGCCAACGTTATACTAAATGTGCAAAAGATAGAAGCATTCCCCTTGAAAACAAGCACAAGACAAGGATTCCCTCTCTCACCACTCCTATTCAACAAAGGATTGGAAGTCCTAGTCAGAGCAGTCAAGAAGCAGAAAAAAGTAAAGGGTATCTAAATAGGCAAAGAGGAAGTCAAACTATTCCTGTTTGCAGACAACATTGATTCCATATCTAGAAAACCCTGTAGTCTCAGCCCAAAAGCTCCTTCCACTGATAAAGAACTTCAGAGAAGTTTCAGAATACAAAATCAGTATACAAAAATTACTAGCATTCCTATACACCAACAATAGCCAAGCCAAGAGCCAAATCAGGAAGGCAATCCCATTCACAATTGCCACAAAAAGAATAAAATACCTAGGAATACAGCTAACCAGGGAGGTGAAAGAGCTCTACAATAAGAATTACAAAACACTGCTCAAAGAAATCAGAGACGACACAAACAAATGGAAAAACATCCCACGTTCATGGGTAGAAAGAATCAATATCATTAAAATGACCATACTGCCCAAAGCAGTTTACAGGTTCAGTGTTATTCCTATCAAACCACCAATGACATTCTTCACAGAACTAGAAAAAAACTATTTTAAAATTCATACAGAACGAAAAAAGAGCCCAAATAGCCAAGGCAATCCTAAGCAAAAAGAACAAAGCTGAAGGCATCACGTTACCCAACTTCAAACTATATTACAGGGCTTCAGTAACCAAAAGAGCATGGTACTGGTACCAAGAAAAAAGGCACATAGACCAATGCAACAGAACGAAGAACACAGAATAAGACCGCATGCCTATGACCATCTGATCTTTGACAAAGTTGACAAAAACAAGCAATGGGAAAAAGACTGCCTATTCTATAAATGGTGCTGGGATAACTGGTTAGCCATATGTAGAAGATTGAAGCTAGACCCCTTCCTTACGCCATATACAAAAATCAACTCAAGATCAATTAAAGACTTAAATGTAAAATCGAAAACTATGAAAACCCTGGAAGACAACCTAGGCAATACCATCTTGGACATAGGAACAGGCAAAGATTTCATGACAAAGACAAAAGCAACCGCAACAAAAGCAAAATTTGACAAATGAGATCTAATTAAACTTCAGAGATTCTGCACAGCAAAAGAAACAATCCAGAGTAAACAGACAACCTACAAAATGGGAGAAAATATTTGTAAACTATGCATCTGACAAAGGTCTAATATCCAGCTTCTATAGGGAACTTAAACAAATTTACAAGAGAAAAAGAAACAACCCCATTAAAAAATGGACAAAGGACATGAAAGACACTTTTTTTTTTTAAGATGGAGTTTCACTCTTGTTGCCCAGGCCAGAGTGTAGTGGTATGATCTTGGCTCACCGCAACCTCTGCCTCCCAGGTTCAAGCGATTCTTCTGCCTCAGCCTCCCGAGTGGCTGGGATTACAGGCATGCAAACCCGATTTTGTATTTTAGTAGAAACGGGGTTTCTCCACATTGGTCAGGCTGGTCTCGAACTCCTGAACTGAGGTGATCCACCCGCCTCAGCCTCCCAAAGTGCTGGGATTATAGGCATGAGCCACCATGCCCAGACGAAAAGACACTTTCCAAAAGAAGACATACATGCGGCCAACAAGCATATTTTAAAAGCTCAATATCACTGATCATTAGAGAAATGCAAATTAAAACTACAATGAGACACCATCTCACACCAGTCAAAATGGTTCTTGCTAAAAAGTCAGTAACAGCTAGTAAGGTTGTGGAGAAAAGGGAACATTTATACACTGTTGGTGGGAGTGTAAATTAGTTCAACCATTATGGAAAGCAGTGTGGCAATTCCTCAAAGTACTAAAAGCAGAACTGCCATTCCACCCAGCAATCCCATTACTGGGTACATACCCAAAGGAATATAAATCATCCTACCATAAAAACACATGCATGTAAATGTTCATTGCAGCACTATTCACAATAGCAAAGATATGGAATCAACCTAAGTGCCCATCAATATCAGACTGGATAAAGAAAATATGGTATGTATACACCATGGAATAGTATGCAGCCATAAGAAAGAATGAGATCATATCACAGGAACATGGATAGAGCTGGAAGTTATTATCCTTAGCAAACTAATACAGGAACAGAAAATCAAATACCACGTGTTCTCACTTATAAGCGGGAGCTAAATGATGAGAACTCATGAACGCAATGAAGGGAACAACAGACACTAGGGTCTACTTGAGGGTGGAAGATGAGAAGAGGGAGAGGAGTGGAAAAAATACCTATTGGTGATGAAGAAATCTGTACAAGAAACCCCTTTGACAAGAGTTTCCCTATATGACAAACCTTCACATGTATCCTTGAACCTAAAAGTTTTTTTAATTGTAAATAATGGATCATTAATAAAAAAAATTTAATAATGAACTTTTCTTATCAAGTTCTCTTATTGAATAATTTGGAATGAAACTTATCATTGATAACATAAAGTCTTTCTATAAAGGATCATATTATATATTCCCAATTATTCAGTTTCATACTTTTTGTTGTTACTGTGAAAGTAATCTTTTCCCATTGAATTTTATTACTGATTATTGCCTATTACAGAAAGCTACTGTTATTTATGTATAATTATGTCACTGATTACCATACTGAATATTAGATAGCATCATTTTCACCTTTTACCCAGTGGCATCAGGAAGCCTGTGGTGGCTCCATAGCATCTCCAACTTTCAATTCATGGAATCGTAATTGGTTTAGGGGTTGGAAGCATTCCTCAGTTGAGCACTGAAACCTCTGACAATTCTTGGTTATGTTGGAAAATGATTCTGCCAGGGCACCCTGGTGTATTTGCATGTGTAAAGGAGGAAAAAGTAATTTTTCTGCTACCCTTCTAAGTTTCCCCTACCCAGATCCTCTGGGGCCCCTGTAACAAAAGACAGATTAACAAGAGAAAAACAGAAGTTTATTAGCATATATAGAGAGATATATATGTATATACACATATCTCTCTATATATATATACACATACATATGTATATACATCCAACTCTGGTTATGGGAGACAGAGTACCATATACAGGTAGCTAGTTCCAAGCATATACTACATCCTTTCAGGAAGTGCTCCAACCTCAGAAATGACTGTTTGGGACCATAGTTATCTATATGTGTGTATATATATGTGTGTATATATGAGAGATACTCAGAGAGATGAATAACTCTCCAAGAGGTGGCTGAGACTTCAAACTTAAATACCATCTCCAGCTAAAGACAAAGAAAGAAGAGTATGGGAAAACCAGTTATAGGGATGACCAGGAAGCGCATGGTAAACAAGAGTAAAGTTTGCTGTGCAGATCTGAGGTGTCTTCTCCATTGATAAGAGTCCCTTGTGATTTAGAATCATCCTTCTCTTCCTGGGACAGAGAGGGAGATATCCTTATGAATGGAGATTTCCTTTGTAAATGTAAAGTTCCCTAACAAAGGAATAACTTCTACTGTGTTTTTAGAGCTTCTCCTATGTCTCCTATTTCTCAAAATAATCCTTATGCCAAAGAGGCACATTCTAGGGTGGCATATTCTGGCTTCCCCTACAGGTCTCCACATAGACCCCAGAGGCGGGGCTTAACTGCAGCTGATCTGATCTAAGTCTTGACAGAATACTTGTGGTCTTTCCAGAACATTTGCACAAGGAAGGCATGAGAGGAGCTGCTTGAAGGCCATTCCCCACTCTCCTGCTCATCTTTTGGAGGCTACCATGACATTCATCATTTCCTAAGTTCTGATGAGGTCTGAGGCTTTCTGTTTCACCACCACTAAGGTACAACTGCAGGCCGTAAAACTGCTAGCCACAACATGAATGTGGGCCATCACTCACGTTGCATTAGATGTCATTCAGCCCCTTTTCTTTCAGTGCTATCCTGGCGAACAAAGGACATGGAGAGCTAGCACTTTTGCTCTTTTTGTTTTTGTTGCCTGTGTTAAGTGATAGACTATCTGAATCTAAAATGTGTCAACTTGTTTTTACCATCCAGATCTATTAGCCTTGCTAGACAGTTTCCCAGATTCAATAGATTCTGGTTATGGGAGACAGAGTACCATACACGGGTAGCTGGTTCCAAGCCTATACTGCATCCTTTCAGGAAGTGCTCCAACCTCAGAAATTACTGTTTGGGACCACAGTTATCTAGAGTAACTGAATATAGACCAAGAAAAATATTTTATCCTTGAAGTTCTCTCTTAGCAAATTCTATCTCCAGTCCTTTGGCTCCTAAGTTAAATTTTTCGTTTAGATTTAGGGTTTAAACTTTGGCCCTTTTTTCTTTTTAATTCCTTTTAATTTACTTTGTTGGACTGGGGAGATTCAGCAATGTGGCTTCATTCTTTCACCATTACCTAAGATTGGTCCTTTTCCAAACTACCATTTTTATTTGTGGCGTAGAGAGTATGCACCAAATATCACAAGCACTCCCACACACAGTCAAAAATCCACAGATAACTTTTGACTCTCCAAAAACTTAACTACTAATGGCCTGCTGCTGACCAGAAGCCTTACCAATAACATAAACCATCAATTGACACATATTTTGTATGATATATATACATATAATACAAATATTGTATATTGTCTTCTTACAATAAAGTAAGCTAGAGAAAAGAAAATGTTACTAAGAAAATATAAGGAAGAGAAAAGTACATTCACAGTACTATACTATATTTATCAATACAGTAAGTATACATCATCTATTGACAAGATGGTCTGTCTGAAACGGCAGGCAATTGCAGCTGCAGACCTCAATCTACGGTACATATTAAGCAATTCAGCTTTTTCTTGTAATGTCATGACTTTTCTCTGCTTTTTGAGACAGCTTCCAGCATCACTAGTGGTATTTTGTATGGATCCCCTGGTATCATTCAAGGAGCTACAGTAAACATGATGAAAAATATGTGAGAACCCTGGAAAATCACTTTTTACTGCAATATGCAATTTACTAGAGAGATGAACTGCAGAGAAGATTAGTGTCACAGCATTTGAAGAGAGTACTCACAATATTTGAGCTCACAGCAATAGCAACAGAAGGTAGCTATA